TTGTTTCAATAAACAACATATTACTTAAAGGATATTAAAAACTCCGAGAGAGCAAACAAACATGTTCGTCACAAGAATGTTTGCACGAGTTTTATTTACGCTAATTTCATTAATTATAATCATTAATAATAATACGTGAAGCAAAAACTTTGTATCCCATTTTTACGAAAATTGCGCGGACAGAGGAGTATGAAATTATCCACACTTATAAAGAATATAGAGAAGAAGTGCACAATGCTAATATTTTTTAAAAATAATGCATAAAGCATACATTAAATCAATAAAGAAAACATTACACACACTACATACCATGTATTTGACGCACACACGCATGCATACTATTTATTGTCAAACTTTTGTTATTGACGTCTGTTGTCAAATTGAGATTAAATATTGTTTGTCTTTGTTAATATTTTTCTATAGTGTGTAGTCTTGGCGAAATTTGTGATTATAGAAGTATAAAATACAATCATAATAGTTTACAAACTTACAATTCCAATTAATTATAGACGAATTTCGACTACTGCGGGACCTCTACTAATCATTATAACCAATTCAATAAAAAAACACAAAAACATTTTTAAGAAAAACTATTGTATTCTTAAAGGTCCATATTAATATTATTTTTATTGACCTTGTAGACAGACGGCCCACTTAATGATGAGTGGTTACCGCCGCCCATGGACGCAAGCAATGAAAGGGGCAGAGCTAAGCCGCTGCCTACAGTAGGCATACGTATAATTTTATTATGATGATTTGGCACAGTTCCATTTTTTTTTTTTTTGTAGAAACAGATCTCCTGTGTAGCGCGAATTATATAAAAGACTAGCTGACCCTTCAGACTTCGTAGCGCCTCAATCGATAAATAAAAGACCTAAACTTTTGTCTATACTAATATTATAAAGAGGAAAGATTTGTTTGTTTGTTTTTTTCGAATAGGCTCCGAAACTACTGGACCGATTTGAAAAATTCTTTTTCCATTAGAAGCCGACATTGTCCCTGATGAACATAGGCAACTTTTTTTAATTTTTTTTTTTTTGGTTTCATGTGTATTTTAATGTTTCCGAAGCGAAGCGAGGGCGGGTCGCTAGTATACAATAAACTTAAAACAAACAAAAGAAATCTGTCCGATGGGGGACACATCAAAGGAAAAACAAAATTGTTATTTTTATTTAATTCCGAGCATTTTCTTATTTATCTACCTTTTAAACCTTCGCTGGACTTCCACAAATAATTCAAGACAAAGATTAACCAAATCGATCCAGCCGTTCTCGAGTTTTAGCGAGACTAACGAACAGCAATTCATTTTTATATATATATAGATAGATAGAAGATGAGGCTGACTATTAGCATGACATCCATCTCTTTTCGTGACTCTTGATTAAGAGATTCATCAGAGCACTGGCGGTAATGTCTTATCGACGCAGTTGGCTTCACTGGCATTCACGGGTGTGAGGACATATTGAGAATCCTCACGGGTAGACTCTGAAAACTGCTACCGCGATGCAGTCAGGAATTCCGATACGGGGCCCTTTTTATTATTGAAGGATTATTTGAGTCGTCTATTATCAAAGGTGGCAATCTGTGCATTTGGACAAAAAAAAATTATTGATATGTCAATACAGATTGATTTGAATATAATCGTCTCCTTCAAAGAATACGGTTCAAAACCTGCATTAAATAAAGGTTAATAGTTAACCTGTTATTTATCTAAGATGTCGTTCCGAAGAGTTTTGTGACTGCCAATGGAATACAAAGTCAATAATTCGTTTTTCTGATTTACCAATCATTGTCCAAAAGTCAGATTGCCGGCTTTGATAATAGTCGACTCATTTGTGGTCCTTAGGCCTTTCCAGTTTCACCAGGACAGGTGGGCGGGCACGGTACAAAATTACTATGGAAATAGAACGTTAAAAAAACGAGTTTCCATACTTACTCAATAGTTTACCCGAGGACATAAGGCGTGAGCCTATACTTGCTAAATTTAAAAGGTTATTAAAAAAACACTTGTTAAATGCGTTGTAAGCATTAACGTAAATTGATTGTATTAATATAAACTAAGTTAATAATTTATAAGCTCTGTTTACATAAAGTGAGTTACCGGAAGTCAAACTGCGTAAGCAGTTTTCCGGGGCATGGTTTAAATGAAAGTGTAACTTTTTATGAATAAATATAATAATATTACATACAAAGGTTCAGCCAGTAGGGGTGGGATTTGCTAACAGCTGCCCGAGCGCCTCCAAAGCAGACCTAAAATCTTTAAAGCAGCTGCTTCGCGAATGAATCTACTACCGGATCGGAATCGCGACCTGCTGAGAAGATCCGGCGTGAAACTCAGCTGGCTTTTACGTGGGTTAGGTTGCACGTCGAACTCTTTGTCGAGCTCGACGAATACGGTTACCGGACCGATTCAAAGCCCGTGTGATATTTAATTGAGACTTCGGCCTCATGCTTAGAGTACGCCCGCATTCACGATGTCCATGGACTACAGTAACAATCTACATCAAGTCGGCCACGAGGCCAAAAAAAGACAAAATTACATTTTAAAATTTGTATGAAACACATACCTATGGTAATTTGTGTGTTGAATTTTAAAAACTAGTCTACTCTAGTTTTAAAAACTAAAATTAGTCGAAATTCGATCGTAATTACGGAGACGCTTAAGTCCTAAATTCATTTTGTGCGCATAATCTATTTTCTCTTTTATTTTAGTAAGTTCTTTTTAGGTTCGCGAAAACAAAAAATTATACTTTCAAATTTATTTTTCTGTGTATAACACAAAAGCTTATCACCGGTTACCCATTTACAGTATCCGCCGAGAAATACTTTTATTTTTCATAATTTTTATTACTTAGATGGGTGGACGAGCTCACAGCCCACCTTGAGATATGAGTTCTAAGGTCTCAGTATAGTTAAAACGGCTGCCCCACCCTTCACACCGAAACGCATTACTGCTTCACGCCAGAAATAGGCAGGGCGGTGGTACCAACCCGTGCGGACTCACAAGAGTTTAAGCTTACCCACCAATTTGCCAACAAACGTGTCTGTTAGACGAATAACAGTGAAAGAAGCGTATACATAAATTATATTTATCAACGCACGCAATGTATTGCATTGTTTTGTTAATCAACGCACGCAATGTATTGTGTTTTCTTGTTAATCGACGCGCGCGGTCAATGTTTTAGAGTTATCGTAAGCGTCTATCAACTACCCGCACGATGTAATGCTTGTTCTTGAAAAATGTATTCATTGAAACTACATACTTATATCTATTTAGTACACTAGTACAAGAACACGAAGTTCTTTTAAAGTAAATTTAAAAGTATATCTTCTGAATATGCAAATTAAATTCGAAAATATAAATTTTAACTATTCCGTGCTGTAATTGTGCATTGCAATTGTGTTTTTTTATAATTTAATATATTCTGTATTTCATTGTTTTTATTGTAGTTGTTGTTGCAGTTATTGTTGTTATTCTAAGTTCAAATAATGTTTGGTCGGTCTGGTGCGCATCACTCCTCAGGTGCCGGCGGAAGATCAGCGCCCCAGTACCGATTGTCTCGGTACTGTGAGGCATTGCTGAGCCGGTAACCTTTTCCGAGCCTCGTTATTTTTCTTGTAATTTTTGTTTAATTTTTTGTAAATTTATGTTTGGAATAAATGTTTAGTATTATTATTATTATTATTTTAATGACGGACGATCCGAATAACAGAGCGGAAAAAAATAGAAGCGTTCGAGATATTATGGTGTTGGCAAAAAATGCTCCCAATACCGTGGTGGACCGCCAAGAGAACAAACCAATCTATCCTCGAGCAACTTCACGTAGAAACGAGACTGTCTACGATTTGCTACCAGAAGGTCCTTGGTTACTCTGGTCACATTGCTCGGCGGCCACCAGACAACCTTAAAAATTTGACAGTGGTGGGCAAGGTAGAAGGGAAAAGACCCACCAAACCGTTGATCAGATCAGGTATTTACTGGTGGTAGGACCTCTTGAGAGTCCGCGCGGGTAGGTACCACCACCCTGCCTATTTTTGCCGTGAAGCAGTAATGCGTTTCGGTTTGAAGAATGGGGTAGCCGTTGCAACTATACCTGAGACCTTAGAACTTATATCTTAAGGAGGGTGGTGCAAAAATAATAATAACTGCGCTCACTGGATTCTCTGTTGCGACCGCCCCTGAGAGAAGCCGAAACCCGAAGGAAATGGAAGCTGATGGCACAAAGAGCCACGAAGGGCTTTCCGGGACACGACCTTTTCAGCAATGAAGTATGCGATTAAGAAGAAGATATCTATTTTAGTACATAATTTTTACGTATAATATACGGTATGACATTTTGCAATGCGTCGGCTAATTAAATTCGTAATCGCCTTATTAAAACCATCAAGGGCTTAGATATAAACGTGTAATTGTTTAAGACAATAGTCTCGTTCACACAGTTGATTCTTGCTTCGATTCCACCGATTGAAATGCTTTATTTATTTTGTATATAAACAAACGGATTAGTCAATGTCGCCTTGAATTAATTTAACTAATCGAGTCCTTAATCCTGAACAGATCCTCCTCTTCCTTGAGTCGATAATCCTCAATGCTGGTCGAGGCCTCGTGAAGGTTTCTTGGGAAACCACACAAGATGTGGTCCCGCGTTAATGAATAGATAGATAGACTTTAATTAAATCTATACTAATATATAAATCTACAGTGGTTTTTACGGATGTTCCGTTATAACTACTGAACCGTGCGTCCGATTGACTTGAAACTTGGTATCCATGTAGGAAATACATGTACTTAATGGATAGGCTAATATTTATATGAGTGTAGGACTCCCTACACCAGTTGCGGGGGCGTTAATGATTAGAATCTTTGTGGGGGTGAGATATAATGATGTTAATTTTAAATGCCCATCAAAGCGGACGGGTACAGATAGTCATATATAAATCGGATTATTTTTTTTACCGCAATCTTTGTTCGCGTGTTTAAAATATACTGGAATACTCACTGCAATTTCCTTTTCGTCGAATTCTAATTACGAAAACTGAAGCTGTCACTAATTCACATTTGATTCGCTATTTAGATTAAAAAAATCGAATCAGCACACAAGTACTATAAATGAATTAAAATACTTGTTTATTAATATAATGTTAACGGCAAACGCGCCGCGTGCGCCTACCCGACTGAACAGCGGAACCAATAACCTTGCTTTTTAAACAACGCTTACCCCTAGGACTGTAGCACAGCGCTTCAGCTAAGCGAAGCTAAGCTGCGCGTCGGGTAACGCAAAGGAAGATTTTCCCGAAATCCTCGAAAAACAAAACAATGATTCCTAGTGACATCATAAGTAATGGGTAACGGGTAAATAAATGGGTAAGTCTCCTGATCGCGTCGCTTCCTCACTGCTGTGGATCGTGACCATCATGCTTAGACTGGATTTTATTTTAGTGTAAAGTGTAATGTAGAGATTTATTCTCGAAGCAGCTGCTCTTGAGTTGTCAGATTTCCTTTGGAGGGGCTCGGGCAGCTGTTAGCAAATTCCACCCCTCCTGGATGAGCCTTCGATTGCTATATTTGCTTTATTATTTTATTATTTTTTGTGTTTAGTTATACAATAATTAAATGCCTTAACTTTCACAACTTATAAGTTTAGGGGCATCCACTACAAGATGTCACTAGTTTCCATACAAAAGAATATTTGTCTTAAAGTATCGCAGTTTCAGGGCCCTGTCATGAAGTGTTGCTCCAGTGGAATCGAAACACATTCTTTTTTTTTATTGCTTAGATGGGTGGTTGGCTGACTTAGGAAGAGTGAAGACGTCTTGGAACTGTCATTGTTTTGTGCTGTGCAATCTTTTTGCACGATTACTCACTATAGACCCACTATGTCAAGAAATAATGACGAAATCGGCCCATTTTGTGACATGCAGTATATTGAAATCTACCATGAAACACATAATATATTACGCTATTGCCATAAATGGATAGGGAAAGCAACTGAAAATCTGCCATAATCCACAAATACCCGAATACCGCCACATAAATACCAATAATTTTTCTTTCTTTTTTATTATCCTTGTTAGCAGATCAACATACGGCCCATTTGATAGTGAGTGGTAACCGTCGCCTATGGACCTTAGCAATGCCAGGGGCAGAGCCAAGCCACTGCTCAGTTAAGTACTCGAACCGGCCTCGGGAAAGAACGTAGATGGGAACTCATTATATATATGTTTGTCTCTTTCTAGTGTCCTTTCCGAGTTTAAAAACGTAACGACAGCAAAATTCACTTCAATAGCTCATTAAAAAATAAACAAAGCTTAGCATCGCATAGCATCGGTACTGTGCACAATCTTTACATGTTATATCATTGAACACAATCGTACTTGTAACTATTATCCAATTGCGGCGGACCTTTACTTTCAAAGGACCCAAATGAGTTGAGGAGGTCTGGTTTAATTAGTTACAATGCAGTCTTGTAAGCCAACTTGCAAATTGTAGCGATGTAAGTAGATTTTACTAGTTACAAGCTAATGTGCAATTTGGTAGGGTTTTATTGAGTTATTGTATGGAATAATTTAAGGTACACAGCTGAAGGGAATGTTGTAAAAATTAAAAACTGTTGTTATTGTTATTGTTGTTTTTACTGGTGGTAGGACCTCTTGAGAGTCCACGCGGGTAGGTACCACCACCCTACTTATTTCTGCCGTGAAGCAGTAATGCGTTTCGGTTTGAAGAGTGGGGCAGCCGTTGTAACTATACTTGAGACCTTCGAACTTATATCTCAAGGTGGGTGGCGCATTTACGTTATAGATGTCTATGGGCTCCAGTAACCACTTAACACCAGGTGGGCTGTGAGCTCGTCCACCCATCTAAGCAATAAAAAATAAATAAAAAAAAAACCACACAAATCTAATTATAATATCATTTAAAAATCAACACGGAAATAAACATATATGAGAACAAATTATATATTAGCATAAGAGGACAGAAATATTTAGATAAATATAATTAATAGTGCACTTCATTAGGAAAAAATGAGAATTAATTAAACAGAGAACTGATTTAGATTGATTCGGTGGTGCAGTGGTATTAACGGTCTGGACTAGGGAACCGAGGGTCGTGGGTTCGATTCCCATATCGGGCAAATGAATAGGTCTGCTTGCTCTGAGTCCGGGTATTTATTATCTATATATCAAGGAGTATAAGGCTATTTGGTTTAGCGACATTTATCGTTGTAATTAAAGGTCCGTTTTATTTGGTATCAGCATCAATAATACGATGTTTTTAATTGAACATCAATTAATTATGTATTTTTATTGAATTTAACCATCAGATACAGGACATAATATAATACAACTTACTATAATATAATAAACAAACCTAAATAAAAATAGAAATGTTTACATAATAATTTTAGCTATTTTACAAAATATAAGCATACAAAATATAACCTTAATTAATTAAGTTCGCTCCATTCAAATAGCTGAAGATTTTTTTTTGTAATGATATTTTTTATTTGAAGATTTTCTTCGAGATAGATTATATTGGTGTTAGTATTAGAAACATTCTAGATCTTTTTTTTTATTGCCATTCTAAGCGGACTAGCATACGGCCCACCTGATGGTGAGTGGATACAGTCGCCCATAGAAGTCAGCAATGCCAGGGGCAGAACCAAGCCGATGCCTACCGTTGCCAGGCCGTTGCCTATAGTCTTAGGCCTTGGAATTATTATCTCAAGGTAGGTGGCGGAATTTACGTTGTAGATGTCTACGGGCTTCGGTAACCACTTAACATCAGGTGGGCCGTGAGCTCGTCCACTCTACTAAGCAATAAAAAAAGTCTGGTGTCGGAAAACCACAGATGAACGTAATTTAATGGCATGAGATAGAACAACTGGTATTTCATTGATACTCCCAATCACCCTCTGAAGCTGGACCACTGTTTAACATCAGGAATTGACCCTGAATTCGTTCCGATAAGTTATTTTTTAGAAGGTTTCCACCTACGCAGTACAGTAGCTTGCTTACTGGACTTGCCGTGATAATTCGCGTGGGTTCATGCAATGAGCAACCACTTTTAAAACAGACTAATTAAAATCAATATCGTATTGATTATACGTGCAATAAAAATAAATTAACGCCCCGAAAAATATCTTTTTTTTAGGTTTTAGAGATCACTGGTAGCCCGGAGGCCTTTCCAGTTTTACCAGGGCAGGTGGGCGAGCAAGAGCTCAGCCTAGAGGGGTGGGATTTGCTAACAGCTACCCGAGCGCCTCCAAATAAGACCTAACAACTCAAGAGTAGCTGCTTCGCGAATTAATCTACCACCGGATCGCAATCGCGACCCACTGAGAAGATCCGGCGAGAAATTCACCGGACTGATGTTTAGGTTAGGTTGCACGTCACTCTTTGCCGAGTTTGACGAGTACGGTTACCGGGGTCCCTGGTCCTAGTGTTAGAGCTAAAGGTGTCTAATGCAAGGGCTCCGAAAAATAATTGGCCATTTTTGCTGCGTACCAAGTTACGTGTTAACGGTTTAAAGGGTGGGACAACCGCTGGGCAAAACAATTGTTAGTTCAACCTTACGTCTGAAAGTGGATAGCGCCATTTACTCATCTGTGCATTAAATATATACAAATAAAAGTAGTAATATTTTTTTTTTTTTTTTTTTATTTTTTTTATTGCAAGAAATTCGAAGTCGTCGTGGCCTAAAAGATGACGTCCAGTGCATATTATTATGTAACGAGGCATCGGTGTTCGAATCCCGCCGGCAAATACCAAATACGTAGGTACTTAACAAATGTCCACGATTTACTTCTACGGTGAAGGAATAACATTGTGTAATAAAAACCAAACCCGCAAAATTATAATTTGCGTAATTACTGGTGGTAGGACCTCTTGTGAGTCCGCACGGGTAGGTAGCACCGCCCTGCCTATTTCTGCCGTGAAGCAGTAATGCGTTTCGGTTTGAAGAGTGGGGCAGCCATTGTAACTATACTGAGACCTTAGCACTCATGTCTCAAGGTGGATGGCGACATTTTATGTTGTAGATGTCTATGGACGCCGGTAACCACTTAACACCAGGTGGGCCGTGAGCTCGTCCACCCAATTAAGCAATAAAAAATAAAATAAAAATGTTTGGTTGTCTTTGGGCGAGGTTGAGTCATCTGATAAGGCTTATTGTGAACGACCACATTTCACTGCCATATGCCATCATTGGCAACACATACTGTAATGTAAAGACATCTTCAGATACTGTAGTAATATAATATAACTAGCTGTACCCGTCCGCTTCGGTGGGCATTTAAAATTAACATCATTATATCTCACCCCCACAAAGATTCTCATCACAAACGCTCCCGCAACTGGTATAGGGAGTCCAACACTCACATAAATATTAGCCTATCCATTAAGTACATGTATTTTCTACATGGATACCAAGTTTCAAGTCAATTGTATGCACGGTTCAGTATTTATAACGGAACATCCATAAAAACCACTGTAGATTTATACATTAACGCGAAAAATTCTATTAAAATTATTATAAAATATAATTAGTATTTAAAAATACTTATCTTTAATAACAAAATATCTAGACTATAAAACAGAAACTTGTTTTTGCTTATTTTATTCCCGGAAGCGAGACGGTGTGTTCATTTAAATGGAATATTATTTTTAAATTTAAGTCAAATAGCTCTTCCTAGTTGGTAAAGTATTTCATGATAGATTACAAAACGAATTCATTATATATTTATGGAGATATTAAGTTCGTGAGTCGATTTGATAATTGTGAGGTTCGCTGATTTGTGATTCCTTAAAGTAACAATGAGCCGACTTAACCTAATAGGTGTATGGCTGCTGTTGTTGTTGTTGTAGTTCTAGGGTACCCGACTGGGCTCCGGCCCGGTCCGGGGTAGGTCGCCGGCTGTGAGCGGCAGGAGTTTTTAGCGATGTTCAACTCCCACATACCCCACCTGCCGTGCGGGTGGGGATCCGGCGATTTTCTCCTGTGAAAAAAAAAAGGGTACCCCGCTGGTACATAGGGCCCTCGCAAGTTGTCTATGTAATATATAAATATATATAAATAGTATATATAAATCTATCTTTTGTATGGCTGTAATAAAGAATAAAAAAATAAAAAAAAGTAAGTGATTCCTTAAACAAACGTAATCCTTAAAT